GGTAGAAAGGGGGAACCCATCACTGATCTACATATAACCCCCTCACAGGGAGATGGACAACAGAAAAGTGGGTGAAGAGATACATCGGACAGTGTAAGACATGAAAAAAAAATTGGTAATTTATAAATTATCTAGGGTTCGTGAGGGAAGGTAGGGGGGAAATGAGCTGATACCAAGGGCTCAAGTAGAAAGCAAATGTTTTGACAATGATGATGGCAACAAATGTGCTTGACACAGTGGATGGATGCATGGATTGTGATAAGAGTTGTACAAGCCCTCAATAAAATTATTTTTTAAAAAGAAAGAAGAATCAGGAAGCCATAGATATTTTGGTTTATCTGTTTTCAATTCTATCCCATCAGTTAATAAATGTATCCTTATACTAGTTTTAAAAAAAAAAGTGGGTGCTTCACCATCACTTGTTTACTTTATAGACCTATGACGTTTTTGGTTGAAAACTGAGCCAAGGGGAAAAGGATAACACCAGAATGTAGTCTCGTGGGTACTGTTAGCCTCCATCTTACCAGTATGTCTGGTCTTTTTCAATGATCTTGGGTTTTATTTTTCTCTTACTCTATTCAGTACTTCTACTATCCCTTTCTGAGAGGTCTGTAGTGGTAGCCAGGCACCATCTAGTTCTTACGGTCACAGGCTTGTCTGTTAGTCCTTTCAACTCATTGTTTTCATGAATCTTTTATTTTCTTTCAGTCTTTGCTCTGGGTGGGAAGAAACCAATAGTTGTACCTTAGTAGAATTGATTTTGTGTTAGAGAAGGGGCAGATTTCTTAAGAGGACTTATAAATTCATGGGAGAATTGCTCTCTCCCTCACCTTCCCCCCCCCAATCTGCATTCCCTTCTCTAACTTTTAGCACAAATTATCTCATGATTGATATATATCAGTCACATTGGTGCTATACTATGACCTCTTTTAACCACTAGATGAGTTTTGTGTAATTTGATTTTGGATTATTATTACTTTCCCTAAGAGCATGCATGATGCTTTTTAATGAACTACATTCCTTTTCCTGTACTTGAGTTCATAACTTTCCTCAGATTCTCAAAGGGATGATTGCTTCAGCTATTTCCCTTTTTAAATGTATGGGAAAACATTTCAGGGTGCCCGTTCAGCTGCCCAACAGTCTTTTAGCCCAGAACAAAGAACATACCCCTTTGCCAAATGCACACTGTCTTGTAAAATACCTGAGTTATGCAAGCTTAGCTATGCACATTCTTTTTTTCTAATCATTTTATTAGGGGCTCATACACCTCTTATCATAATCCATATATACATCAATTGTGTAAAGTGCATTTGTACATTCATTGCCCTCATCATTCTCAAAACATTTCCTCTCCACGTAAACCCTGGCATTAGGTCTTCATTTTCCCCTTCGCTCCCCCCTCCC